AGAAGCAGAAGGGGCAGCAGAGACCATAGCAGGAAGCCCTATTGCAGAATCTTCCTGCAAGGGACATCTAGTATTGTGTGTGTGTGTGTGTGTGTGTGTGTATAACTTAATAAAAGGTTGTATAAATTAGGGGGGAATGAATAGATTGTTTGAAGGGTGCTCAGAAACCACATCATTACATAGAGTAAAACAAAACTCCATCCCTTTCTAACACCATACATAAAGGTGACTTAAGGCTATAGAGCTATAGCCCTCTCTTGTTTATTAAGCCAATAATCAGTTCTTTAACTGCTTTCCAAAATTTCAATACCCCTTTTCCCACTATTGTTTTCTTCTCAGGTATCTTAAGGGTTTATACTTCTTTTATTCATGCACTATTATATTAAGGCTTTGGAGGAAAAAGAAATAAACGTATATACCATCTGTTATGTAGGAAATCAAATGAAGTTGAACCTAGTCTGAAAATGCCAGCCCCATTATCTGTTAATTAACTTCCTTAATAGTGACTGTCTACTTGTCTACTTGCATTTTGGTGTAGGCCAGGAATCCTGCTTTTAATCCACTTGCCAAACCACTCTGCTGTTTGCCTATAATGCCTTTTTTTAATGATGTTCTTGAAACTATTAAGTCATCTCTCTACCTTGAAGGGCATATCTAGAGGTCCCAGCCTCCCTTGACAGAATTTGTTTTCCTTTTAAAACTGGGCTTTAACTTTCATTACATAATTCATTCAAACCATTTACTAAGTGCCAAGTATTGGGAATGCAAAGATGAGAATATGGTGATACCTTCAAGTTGTCCACAGGCTAGTCTTATAGCCATTCTTAACTAGAAGACTGTCTGAATAACAAAAAAATGATTTTGGTAACTATTTTCCTAATTCTCTCCAAAAGGATACATAAGTAGTATCATGCTGGATGCATGAGAGAGAAGCTAATTAATTATACACAATAGATGCCTCAGAGTACTATACAAGTTAAAACATGATACTGAAGTACTGAAATCCAGTTTGTCTAGTTTAAGCACCTGAGCTTTTAAGTTTTATAGTTTAAATCCCTTTTCAAGTGACCAAATATTCTCCTTCCCATGGGAATGAGGAAGTATGGTCTGTTATAAGCCTTAACATGAATAGTACCATGGGTATGGAGCATAAAAACCAAAAGGCTAAGTAACCAAAACTCTGTATTTTGAATAATGAAAACAAACAGGGAACCATATACAGCCAAATTTAAGGAATTTTAAGTAACCAAGATTAAAGAAATAAAAGTAATGTTTTATATAATAAATATACAAAAATAATAGTTTCTAGCTAAATATTTAAGAAATTAATCTCATGCCCTGGACAGTCTGGCTAAATGGTTGGAGTGTCATCCTTTGGACCAAAGGGTTTCAGGTTTGATCCCTGGCCCTGGTGGGGTATGTGTAGGAGACAACCAAATGAAATGTCTCTCTCACATCGATGTTTCTCTCTCACCCCCCTCCCTTCCACTCTCTAAAAAATCAATGGAAAAAATATCCTCAGGTGAGGATTAAAAACAAAAATTATCTCAATATAAAAGAACTCTAGATCAAGTATTACCTAAGATGTAAGAGTTGGCTCATAATTTTACCTTTCATTTAAAAATTAAAATAACAAATATCTGTATTAAGGAATGTTTTCCTATTTTTTTTTAAAACAGTAAAGTATATACAAAAAGTTCTTATTTTTAAACATGTCAAATATAAAACCAATTGAAGAAGGGAGGAATTATTATACCTTTTTTGGTAATGTTTCATTACCAAAAATTTTCTGACAAATTTGTTTTTATAGAATAAAAGGTCAAGCTGCTAGATTATTTATTTATAGAGGCTCAGTGCATGAATTCATGCATGGGTGGAGTCCCTCAGCCTGGCTGGCAATCAGGGCCGATCGAGGCCAGCCAGGGGGAGGGACCATAGGAGGTTGGCTGGCTGCAGGAGCACACAGACCACTAGGGGGCAGCTCCTGTGTTGAGCATCTGCCCCCTGGTGATCAGTGCCTATCATAGCGACCAGATGACTGGTTGTAACAGTCGCTTAGGCTTTTATATATATAGATTTATTTTAATCCTTGCCCAAGAAGTGAGGATATTTTTCTACTGATTTTAGAAAGAGTCCAAAGGAGGAAGGAAGGGAAGGAGAGGGAGCAAGGAGGGGTGTGGGAGATAGAGAGAGAAAAGAGAGAAACTGATATGAGAGAGACATTGATTGGCAGCCTCTCATACCCCCCAACTTTGCGATGACCTGCAACCCAGGAATATGCTCTTGAATGGAAAATGAATCTGTGACCCTCCAGTGTGCAAACTGACACTCTAATCACTAAACCATGCCAGCCAGGGCTAGGTTATTTTTTATAACGAATTTTCCTATAGTCTGACATCTAAACAGCCTACTATATCTAAACAGTCTACTAATCTTACCTAATAACAGAGAAACATGTAAATTGACTGTACCTCTGCCATGGCCTCAGCCAATCAAAGTATGCAAATTAACATAACAATATGGTAGTTAATTTGCATACATACCTGGGTCCTGGAAACTTCCTCAGCACCCAGGTCACTCCCAGCTTGCCATCGGAGGGGCGGCTGGGTGTGTGTGTGTGTGTGTGTGTGTGTGTGTGTGTGTGTGTGTAGGGATGGGAGGCACTTTCCAAGCCTAAAGCCTGGGGCTTGGGAAGGGGCCAAGCCTGCAACCAAATACAGACCATCGGGAAGTCAGCGCTGGGTTGCCCAGCTGCAGCCTGGCAACCCAACACTGACTGCTCAGGTGGCTGAGACCCAGAAAGTGAGTCAGGGTCTGATCTGCAGCCTCATTGGAAGCTGTTGATCAAAATACTTACCTTTCTCTTTCTCTCCCTCCTTCTGATCTTCGCCATCAGCCAGGCTTTTATTTTTTTCTCTCCCAGCCTCCACAGAGGCTGCTGTTAAGCCCTGCCTCTTTGATCAAGCCCAGAGATAGGCCTGGAGATGCTGACTGGCATAGGAACCAACCAACCAAAGGTGGGTCCAATGGCTCTCTAGGAGGCAGAGCTTCTGATGCTGACTAGCATAGGAACTGACCAATGAGAATCAAAGGTGGGTGCTATCGGGAGCCAATGGCTGTCTAAGAGGTGGAGCTTTTGACGCTGACTGGCATAGGAACCGAACAATGAGAACCAAATCTGGGTGTTGTGGGGAGCCAATGGCTGCCTAGGAGATGGAGCTTTTGACGCTGGTATAGGAACTGACCAATCAGAACCAAATTGGCCAGCAGAGGAGGGCAGCTGGGGACGACATCAGGCCTACAGAAAGAGCAGTTAGGCGTGACCAGGCTGGCAGGCAGAAGCAGTTAAGGGCAATCAGGCAGGCAGGTGAGCAGTTAGGAGCCAGTGGTCCCAGATTGTGAGAGGGATGTCTGACTACCAGTTTATGCCTGATCCCTGGGATCAGGCTTAAAATGGCAGTCAGACATTCCGCAAGGGGTCCCCAATTGGAGAGGGTGCAGGCTGAGTTTAGGGAATCCCCCCTGCTCCATGCATGAATTTCATGCACTGGGCCTCAAGTATTAGTATAATGATTAATAGAAAAAAATATATTTTCTTAAAAATATATTTTATTGATTTTTTACAGAGAGGAAGGATAGAGAGTTAGAAACATCGATCAGCTGCCTCCTGCCCACCCCTCACCGGGAATGTGCCTGAAACCAAGGCACGTGCCCCTGACCGGAATTGAACCTGGGACCCCCCCCCCAGTCCACAGGTCGATGGCTCTATCCATCAAGCCAAACTGGTTTCGGCTAGAAAAATATTTTAATGACATTTTGACTGTGTAAACAAAATTAGTACTGGTACTAAAAAGATAATGGTGAAATAAAAATTTAAGAAATTTTTTATGTAACAGAAATCTCAACTTTTCACTGGTAATTATCAATGTTTCCTTCTATATAATTCCTTTCATTTTATTCCTGACATCGTTATTTAACAGGGGCTTTCATTTTATTTTTCAAAATCCTATTAATTTGTTGGTTTAGCCATACAATACACATTATTTTCAAGTTGGGAAAATGGGCTTAGCTTTCCTCTCTAAATTTGTCTTTTACTCAAACCGTTAACATTCTCTTCTAATTGGCAACTTCTGATGCTCTTTTAGCAAATATTCATTAGCTAAACTTCTAGAGTAATTTCATGTCTTATAACTTTTCTTTTAATATATGGCCATAGAAAACTAAGAATGCATTCTGTTAAGAAAGCAATTATCCTTTGCTCTACTGTGGAGGATCCCTTTTCAGCTTTGAAATGTTAAGATTCTAATATAACTTCCATGTTAATTTGGCTATAACAATAACAAGTGCTGCCCTATCTTAAAAATTTTAGTTTGAATTAAATGAAAAAGATACATGAGTCTAACACTAACCGCGCCTGGCACCCCTTACACGCCGCATGTTATTGCTTAATGTGCAAGCAGAGCTCGAAAAAATACAGAATACCTTAAAATTTAAATCAGATTCAAATAAATTTGCTTCCAAATGCGACTATCTTCATTGTTACTACAAACTTTCATTCTTATTCTAAACATATCAACATTAATAAAGCATTGAGTGAATCTAAGTTATCCAGGAAGTCCAAGATAAAGTATAACCTTGAAATCTGGGAAATAGGCTAGTTCAAAGCTTGAGTGCAGACAGGGTGTAGGTGGTGGTAACTGGGTAATTACATATTCCCTTACCTATAGTCTAACATTAGGAAAGAAAGTCTTCAGTCTCATCTATTGCTCTTAGTCACTAGTTTTTAATGCTAAATGAAGTGCCACATTAACACTAACCGTAAATTCTGTCTCAGATGTCATAACTACACTTTCAAAATAAACTGACCCTTCCACATCCCAAACACTGAAATCATGGAATGTACTGCTTGTGTTTTCATGGAGTGTACTGGTTGTGTTTTCAATCTGGAAGACAAATGAGTAATTTTAAAAAAAGAAAAATTGAAAATTAGAATTTCATACCTTGTGCAAGCATGTTAAATTCCAAGAACAGTGCTATGTGGTAAAGTTCCATGGCTTCTTCTGCCCTGGTCATGTTTGGTTTCCCTGCGACGAGAGCCTGAACTTCACTGAGACTCCCCACAGAGGGGCTACAGTGCAAAACGGAGAGGTCCACCACATCTGTATACATACAGTGTAATATAACTTTTGCATATTTTTTTGGTATAATGGACTCATCTAATATAATTCTTGTGGGAGTCCTCAAAGTTCGGTCTGTGATTTCTTCACCAGTCCGTATCCTCCTTTGTAATAAATTTCGAAAAAATGGGGACCGTGCCGAAATAACAGCTTTGTGAGCTTTGTGCTCTTCATCTAAACAGTTCTGATTTCCACCAAAAGCTTCAACCAGTTCAGAGTCTGAAGAAAAACTAAGGACGACATCGTAATAACACATGTAATCAAAAAGTCCACGCATATCTACATCAAGGGAATTTGGTGTTCCAAATTCTTCACTAAGCTGAACGAGGATATCGACATTTTGAAACCTTGAGTCCTCCATCCCAAACTCTCCAGTATAAAGGTAGTGTAACAAAGCAGAAAACATAGGCATATCTATACCAGCTGTACTGATGTCCATTATGATCTCTGCCCCATACTCAGGTGAGGAAGAAAGCAGTGTTTTAAAAAATGGACACCTTGCTGCCAAAATGGCACGATGAACAGGAAAACAAGTTTCCTGAAATATTAAGTCTACATCAGTACAATACTTATACTCATAAAGATCGGCCATATCCTTCTGCAATGTCCGGGCTTCTGGTCTAGCCAAACTGGCTTGTAAAGAAAGTTCCTTTAAGGCTGAAGTTCCCTCGTATTCTTCCACTAATGCATTGACATCTCTAACATCCCAACCGGAGAGGAGTTCTCGCATCTGCTTGGCATGATCAGCAGACCTATTCGATTTTCGACGCTTAATAAACTTCTTTTTGAGGGTGGCAAGGCCAGAGGTTCTCTTTTTTTTGTCTTGTGGTTTCTCATGGCCATGGTCAAGGCTATATAATTTTGATTCACAACCATAGCCTTGCTGAGAATAGGATGATGTCCCTAAGAAGGAAATTAAACAAATGAAAACGTGTTTCTTTTTTCTTAAACATTCATTTTCAACATTCACTTTAACACATATTTCATGCTAAAAATTTTTAGACATTCCTAACCCATGAAAAAAACAAATCCTGATTTTGTTTTTATAAAGATAAAAAGTTCAAATAACTTGTTTTCATTATTAAAAAAGGAATAAAACAAAAGAGCAGATATACATTTGTTGGGGGGAAATCCTGGATGCTGAAAAATTATAACTTTTTCACAGCTCAATTACATTTTCATCAAAAAACAAAAAACAACACCAAAAACAATTCTATTTATAGTCACAAAATAAAATGAATTAGAAAAATGAAAACAGTTACCTATAAAAGTCTGTTGGGCTTGAGAATTTCCCCCTACCCTCGGGGAACATGAATGAGGATAGTTAGATGCATTAGCACCCATTTTCTTCAGTCACTCAGGCATTCCATCTGCTGGCTCTTCAGAGTATAATCCCAGAGGCCTTTATGAACTTTCAACCCTGGATCCAGCAGCCTCTTTTCATCCATTTCTTGATATGAAACGAAAATAATTTTATTCATATTTTCAAATGTATCTCAAACTGAATAGTAAAAAAAAAAAAGCAAGCAATTTAAAACTGCTTTTATTTACAAATAATGATATGCTGTCAACTTCACATGTAAAAATTTCAGAAGATGTAAACAGTTAACCTGGAATTATAAATCAGTGTTAGCTGCAATTTGAGCCACAAAATCTACCAATTATATACTTTCTATGATAATAAAAAGCAACTTAACAGACTAATGTAAATAGTTATAGAAAGAGCAATTCAAATTACAGGAGGAAAAAACAGGTAAAAGTATTCAGACTAGAATAAAAATTTTTTTATCTTTAGAAACACTCACCAGTTATTATAATCTACACCCAATCAATTTACAAATACTTAGAAGGTTGATACCAGTTCTCACTCTCACTTTATCACATTACACACACACACACACACACACACACACACACGCTAGAGTATTAGTTTTATCTGAGAATTCTGTAAGATTTGTAGCAACACAAAACACTTTCACATTGGTCCATTTGAAATTTAAATATCACAAAGGCCTTCAAAAAAAGTGCTCAATTTTATGACTTAGAGAATCTAAAGCAACCATATAAAAATTGTAAGACATCATAAGTCCCACTGGATACAGAGCAGACAGCAAGCATTAGGAAGTCAGTCACAGGCTAAGACAAGAATGCTTTGACTATTTGCCACCATATTGAGCATCACAGGGACAGCTGGGGTCTTATCACGGAGGGGTGGTTTGAAATGCAAGTGTCTCTGGGACTCAGGGACAGAATCTCTTCCTGGTAGCTCCCACAGTCAATGGGAATCTCCTTCAGATGAAGTGATCTGGGTGACATTCACATCTACTGAAGCTCTAACACCAAAATAAACAAAAGCCTTGCCCTAGTCGATTTGGCTCAGTGGATAGAGTGTCAGCCAGCGGACTGAAAGGTCCCAAGTTTGAGTCCAGTCAAATGCACATGCCCCGGGTTGCAGGCTTGATCCCCAGTAGGGGGCATGCAAGAGGCAATTGATCAATGATTCTCTCTCATTGTTGATATTTCAATCTTTCCCTCTCCCTTCCTCTCTGAAATCAATAAAAATATAAAAAACCAACAAAAACCCCACAAAGGCCTTGGAAAAACTGGTGAGAGGGATTTTTCTGGATCAGATATAACCATTAAGATACCCTCTATCCTAGTTTCAAATCCTGGTAACACTGACTATGCAGTTCTAGTATTAAAGCCATATTTCTCAAAATTCTCAGGAACAAATTCATTTTATTTTTTTAGGCAACCAAATCCCTATGCCAAATGGAGCACAGTATTATGTTATTTATTTCTTAATCTAATCTGCTGCCTTTACATGCTGGAAATAAGAGTTAGTCACAGTCTAATCTCCCCAGGGATGTTTTCATTCCAGGCAAGCTTTGTCTGTCTTCTACATGAAGCAGTATAAGAAATGCAATATTTGGATGATATGACAGAAAAGGAAAGGGGAAAAGGGCCTATGGGACTAGGAAAGGCCCACAGGATGCAATGGCCTAGATAGCTGGTAAATCCTTTTTCTAGACTCATCATTCTAGGAGCACTCCCTTCGTTAACAGCTGGCATGGTCAATCTCAATCAGGATGATCTAACTCAGCAGTCGTCAACCAGTGGTCCATGAGGTCTGAAAGGTTGGTGACCGCTGAAATAACTGCTTAAAATAAGTGATTGTAGCTGACCTAACTGAAGGAGAGTAAGGAAGATGTCATAAATGCAACAGAGAAAATTAACAATCCTATGAGAATTTTCTAAAAAGCAAAAAGCAACCTCTCCCCTCAAAAAGAAACCCTAGACCAGCACTTCCAAAGAGTCTCTTCCTAATGTGAAAAATGCAGGATTAAATAGAGCTTAATAGGTTTCCTTACTTTAGGACAGTTTAGCATCATCTTTCAGGTGCTAAAGTCATTATAAAACTCCAAAAGGAAGTATTCAGCATCACTGCCCCAAATTTCTGATTTTAAATTGTATCATGAGCCTGGTCAGTGTTGCTCAGTAGTTGAGCATCAATTCAGGAGCCAGGAGGTCCCCAATTTGGTTCTGATCATGACACATGCCCAGATTGTGGGCTCAATCTCCAGTAGGGGGCATGCAGGAGGCAGCAGAGAGATCTCTCTCTGTTGTTTTTTTTTTTTCCCTCTTTCTACCCTTATCCCTTCTCTCTCTCTAAAGTCAATATAAACATTCAAAATTGTATCATAAAAAATTTCAAAAATACACAAAAGAAAATAGTACACTGAGCCCTGAAACCTCCAGATTCCAGAATTATCAAAATTGTTCCAGCTTATATATGTTTAAATTTAATATGTAAAGCTTATAGCTAGCACTTAAATGTCTGTTATTAGCTTCTCTTAGAAATAAAAATCTAGATATATGTATATTGTAATCACAATCATTATTATAACACCCATCAGTTATTGAGTATTCTGAGCCAGTCATTCTTTTTTTTTTTTTTTTTTTTAATATTTTATTGATTTTTTACAGAGAGGAAGGGAGAGAGATAGCTAGAAACGTTGATGAGAGAGAAACATCAACCAGCCGCCTCTTGCACACCCCCCACCAGGGATGTGCCCGCAACCAAGATACATGCCCTTGCCTGGAATCGAACCTGGGACCTTTCAGTCCACAGACCGACACTCCACCACTGAGCCAAACCGGCTTCGGCCTGAGCCAGTCATTCTTAAGCAATTTGTTTACATGAATTAACTCCTTTAATTTTCTCAATAATGTGAGGAATAGCTGTATTATCACCCCCAATTTACATCTTTGAAGAAAGTCTTTTTTTTAATTTTAAATTTATTGATTTAAGAGAGATAGAAACAGACATTGATTTATTGCTCCACTTATTTATGCATTCATTGGTCGATCCTTTTATGTGCCCTGACCAGGGATCAAATCCTCAACTTTGGCATATGGAACAATGCACTAACCAACTAAGATGCCCAGTTAGTGCTTATCCCCACTTTATACAAGGAGACGAGGAAAGGAAGAGAGGAAAGTGAAGCATGAAAAGGCTTAATTACTTAACCAAGGTCACAGAGCAGGTAAATTGCAAAACCAGGCTTGGCATTCAGGCTCTGATGAACTAATATTATCTTTGCCATTTTCCCCATTCCTAAATGTTTTAAGAAAAAATTTCCAGAGCAGGCAAACATAGTTCCATTCCAAAAATGAGAAATGAGTACACACCTGACAGTGTTACTTTTGTTACTTAAAAAGGATCTTTCATGGTAAGCAAAAATGACTTAACTGAAAGGATAGCTCATGAAATCAAAGCAAAAGTGCCTTTCTGAATATTTACAGCTAGACTATATGTTCCTTGATGGCAGGATGACACTTTTTTATACTTGATAGTCCACCCATCCACCCACTCAATCATCCATCCAATTCTGATCATTTACCATCTGCTAGACACTTACACAGGCCTTGGGATACAGCAGTGATTACATCCTGAATAGGATCTCTTATGAAATTAAGAAAAAGACTACTGTTCTGGCTTCCTAGTTTAGAGCATGACCTTCAAGAATAAGAGTGCATTAAATAAAAAAGGAAAGGTCATTTAAGGTATTAGAAACAGTATGAATAGAAATAACTCCTGTCCTAGTCAGCACCCCATTCCCAGTTCTCATAAACCAATACCTTTATTACCTACTAATATTGCAGCATAATTACTTTTCCTGAGGATAGGTAGTCAGCTTATTTACCTTAGAATGCTCACCATCACCACAGAACACAAAGTAGATACACAATTATTTGAAAAAATAAATGTTAGCTATTATCATAAATGTTGATAAATAATGTGTCAGGGCACATAAAAGAATCGACCAATGAATGCATAAATAAGTGGAGTAATAAATCAATGTCTGTTTCTATCTCTCTTAAATCAATAAATTAAAAAAAAAGACTTTCTTCAAAGAAGTAGAGATAACAGCTATACCTCACATTGAGAAAATTAAAGCAGTTAATTCATGTAAATAAATTGCTTAAGAATGACTGGCTCAGAATACTCAATAACTGATGGGTGTTATAATAATGATTGTGATCACAGTATACATATATCTAGAGTTTTTATGTTCAATGTATGGGGAGTAGTTGGGTCAAAAAGCCTCAAATCTCATTAAAGTGTTGGGCCTTTAATCAGAACACAATGGAGTAAATACACAATACATAGATGATGTGTTATAAAATTGTACACTTAAAACCTATATAATTTTATTAATGTCATCCCAATAAATTTAAAAAAAAAAAAAAGAACACATGGAGGAACTACTGGAGCAAAGCATAGAACAGTAGAGAAGGATCTTTATATATGTGTTTTAGAAAGATTACTAAATGTCCTCAAGGCAGAAGATATTTGATGCAAGACCTTTTCAAAGATTCTTACTATGGTCCAGAAAAGTGTTAATAAGCATGTGACTTTCCTTATCTTTAAAATGAGGATAATATCACCTACTTTGCAAGATTGTTTTAAGAGTTAAAACCAATATAATAAAGAGCTAATGTACTAATTAGACCAAACTGATGAACAACCTTCCAACTTTCCAAACGAAGCTGGGACTGCAAGGGCCAGCAAAGGCAGCTGGGGCTGGCTACAAGGGTTGGCCTGGGCTGTGAGGGCCAGGAGAGATTGCGAGGGCCAAGCCCCTTGCATGAATTTTGTGCATCCTGCTTCTAGTCCTATCTAATAAAGAGGGAATATACCAATTGACCCTCATGCCGTCGCAAAGATGACGGCGTCTCACGGCCAATAAAGAGGGAATATGCTAACTGACTGCCATAACCTCAAAGTTGGCAGCACCCAGTCCCCTCAGCCCTGCTGGGGCAGCAGGCATGTGGCAAGG